TCATAATTTGTGTCTTCTTTCTTCAAAGAACCAGTTTTGCTTCCATTATTTTTTTTCTCTCATTATGTATTTTGCTTCCCAATGTCATGATTTCTGTTCTTTATTATTACCTTTCTTCTGCTTTCTTTGGGTTTAACTTGCGCTTTTCTAGATTCTTAAGGTGAAAGCTCAGATCATTGATTTGAGAACTTTCTTCTTTTCTAATATAAGCATTTAATGCTATAAATTTCCTTTCCTTTAAGCACTGCTTTAGCTGCATCCCACAAATTTTGATATGTTGCATTTTCATTTTCTTTCAATTCAAAATATTTTCTAATTTTTTGACTTCCTCTTTGACCCATGGTTTATTTAGAGGTATATTGCTAATTTCCAAATTTGGGGGATTTTCTAGATGTCATTCTGTTATTGATTTCTAGTTTAATTCCATTATTATCAGAGAATGTACTCTGTGTGATTTCCATTTTTAAATTTGTAAAGATTTGTTTTATGGCCCAGGATATAGTATATCTTGCTGAATGTTCTATGTGTGCTTGAGAAAAATATGCATTGTGTTGAGTGGTGTATTTTATAAATGTTAATCAAGTCAAGTTGGTTGATAGTGTTCTTTAGTCCTCTATATCCTTGTTGATTTTCTGTCTACTTGTTCTATTAATTACTGAGAAGGGAGTGCTGAAGTCTCTAAGTATAATTGTGGATTTGTCTGTTTCTCCTTTCAGTGCTACCAGTTTTGACTGATGTATTTTTAAGGCTCTCTTTTTTGGTACATGCACATTTAAGATTGTTATGTGTTCTTGGTGAACTGACTCTTTTATCATTATGTAATGTTTCTCCTTATCCCTGTGGTGTTCCTTGTTCTGAAATCTACTTTGATGAATTGTCTATGATGAATGCTTTCATGGTATATTTTATTCGATCCTTTTAATGTATCTGTACCGTTATCTTTAAAATGGGTTTCTTGTAGATAGCATATAGTTAGATCTTTTAAAAAATCCAATCTGACAATCTTATTTTTAATTGGTATATTTAGATCATTTATATTTAATGTAATTAATGATATAGTTGGATATAGTTGAAAACCCCATCAGGCAATTTCATAATTTTTGTTTTAAACATGTAGTTTTAAAACAAACATAGAAGGAGAGAAATAGTCTATTATACCTGCCTTGATATTTACTATTTCCTTTGGTCTTTCTTCATTCCTGAAGGTTCAGTTTTCTTTTGGTATCATTTCTCCTCAGTGTGAAGAACTTCCTTCAGCATTTCTCTACAGCAGATTTGGTGACTACAGAATCTTTTAGTTTTCATTCATCTGAGAATGTCTTTATTTGCCTTTAATCCTGAAGGACTTGTTTTTACTGGGTAAAGAGTTCTGAGTAGACA